GAATGATTGGTATCTCTTCATCCACTTGACAGTCAAGAATTACCAAGTCTGTAGGGAATACAAATTTCCCCACTTGAACAAGCACATCATCAAGAATTCATGTCGGTATCTTGACTGTGCGATTATCCAGTTGCAGCAACACTGAGGTCGGTCTAGCTCTGCCAATGCCCAGTTTTGCATAGATTGCCAAGGGCATCAAGTTTATTCTGGCTCCTAAGTCATACAATGCTTTAGCAAACGCATAACTCTCAATGGTGCATGGGATAGTGAAACTACCTTAATCAGACACCTTTTGAGCCATAGGCCTTGTCACTACCGTGCTACATGTCTGCGTCAGAGTTACAGTAGACAAGTCCTGGAAGTCAAATTTTCGCGACATCAGGTCCTTCATCATTTTTGCATACTCGAGCATTTCCCTGAAAGCACCCATTAGTGGAATATTCAATTGAATTTGTATGAGCATTTCCATGAATTTCCTGTGTTGATCATCTTTCTTTTGCTTTGCCAACCTCTGAGGGAATGGTGCAGGAATCAACCTCTGCGTACTACTTTGTGTCTTTTCTTTGCTGGAAGCTTTTTCTACTATATATTCTATGAGTTGTTTACCTTCCTTCTCTTTACCCTTGTCAATATGTGCTTGCTCGATTACAACCTCGGTGAGCTCATCTGACTCATCTGTCTCTAATGTAACTGGAGTAGTTGGCGTTGTCTCTCTCATAGATTGAGAAACGTTTTGCTCCCTATATATATCTCTCCCATTCTTGAGACTCACTGCCATGAGCTAATTTGGGTTCTGCTCCTTTGGATTAATGTTTGTATCTGCAGGCACTGTTCCTTGTAGGCGATTGTTCAAGGCCATAGATAGTTGTACCAATTGAGTTTCAATGCCTTTGATTGTTGAATCGTGTGCAACTAACTTCTCTTGCATCTTTCCATTTGTCCCAATGAGTTGTTGCAGCATACCCTGATTTAGATCATGTTACTGTCCTGCTGTTGATAGGGTGGTTGGTGGTCAACTGTTGTTGGTGTTGCTGATTATAGCCCTGCTGCCTTTGATAAGGCACGGCTTGGCCTTGTGGTCGTGCTCCTGCTGGATTGGGGTTGTGTTATGCCTGGTTTGGTCTGTACTGTTGGTTTGCTGTTGGTCCCCATTGCTGCCCACCTTGCCTCTGACCTCCGAAATTATTGACATAATTCATGTCTTCTCTGAAACCCTGGTTTATCATTCTCTCCACTCCACGAGCATATATATGATTGATTTATGCAAGGAGTGCATAAACCTCCATTTGTGGTATCAACAATGTGTCTGTTTCGTACCCATCTCATCGATTTTATTTGTCAGCAAGCTCATTTGGGTCATGAGAGTGGCTATGTTTTCTGCATTTCTGTTGTTTGGGTCAAGAGTGACAGAATACACTATTGGAGTGAGTGTTGTGTCTCTTATCATCCAGCCTGAATTTTGAGATATCTTGTCAAGAAGAATCTTGCACTCTATAAATGTTTTGCTCAAGAATGCACCCCCTGCAGAAGCATCTACATTGGCCTTCAGACTGTCAGCCAAACCTATATAGAATCTCTGTCCCAGCATCTGATCTAGAATGCCATGGTGAGGACACTTCACCAACATACCCTTAACCTATCCCAGGTTTCTTGCAAATTCTCCGTTGGTTTCTGCCTGAATTGCAATATCTCATCAATCTGCCTCGCAGTTTTGTTGGGTGGATAAAACTTATTTAAGAACTACTTGACTAGTTCCTCCCAAGTAGCAATGGAGTTTAATGAGAGCGAATTCAGCCAAGTTTGAGCCTCCCCAATCACTAAAAATGGTAACATTAATAATTTGATTGCCTCAGGAGTCACATTCGATTGTCTTTGAGTGACACATATTGATAGAAAGTTCTTCAGATGTTGTTGTGGGTCTTCGATATATGACCCAGAGAAAAGCCATTTATTCTGCAATAGGTGCAGCATGTTGTTGGTAATCTGGAATGTCTCCGCTTGTATCTGAGGAACCGCAATTGTTGTGGTTAGGTAATAAGTAGTAGGTTGCGCCCAATCATAGAGAGCAGCTTCCGGCACAAGAGGTGCTACTACTCTAATGTTTGGGTCATCTCGATCATTCTTGTTGTCTACGTCACCCATTTCAATTTTAATTTGTTCATTTTGTTTTAACTATTTGTTCTTCCTATTAGCCCGGTTCAATGTCCGGAATGCTTTCTCGAGATCTGATAGTCCTTCAAAGAGTTCACCAATTATCAGAGAGCTTCTAGGCATGCACCTGAGTCACAGAAGAGTTCAAACGTGAGAATTTCAATGGAAATATTTTTAACACCACAGAAAATTGATCTAAACTAATAATCCTAGCAATTCTTCCAAGTTGCAATAAATAACACCGTTAGTTCCCCGACAACGGCGACAAAATTTTATCACGCCCAACTATGCCTTATAAAAAGGACTAAGTGATCGCTACAAATATAATTTGGTTCAAGTACGGAGTCGAATCTCACAAGGAACTAACCTATTTACTACAACTTTTAACACTGCTAATGAATAGCTCAAACAATTCCCGGATGTAAGATTTTTAATGGATAACGAGTAGAATTTAGTTAACTAAGGAAAAATAACAATACCACTAGCAATAATCTAGAATATAGTTGAATTCAATGGTAAATGGTCTAGGGTTATTGATTTTCCCAACTGTCGGATTAATTTCTGACACGTTAGCTATAATCTCGCTGTAACACTCTATTAGAAATATGAGTCCTGGGCTGCCGCAATTATCTCTTGATCAATTATGATAATTTACTAGAAGCATTCTCTCGAACTACTCTAGTTAACAATTTATGCAACTTAGAGTTATCCCACCAAAGCTTCGTTATCTTTAATCCTACTTTTAAATTCAAGTAATTAATCTCTTAACTTACCCGAAAGTGGTGTTGTTCAACAACAATCTAACCAAGTGTTCTTTCTCAAGCAACACAACTAGACACGATTAATCAAGAGCCCTTTCAATTAATCACAAGACAACACGTAGTTGAACAATCATAGAGTAAAAACGGCTCAATTATATTAAAATAGAGTCAAGACTTCATCCAACAATTGGTTCCATCAGCCCTAGATGACAGGTTTAGCTACTCATACTAAGAGATAAAAATTCACTATATAAAGTCATAATCAACAATGGAATTAAAAAGAAGAAGATAAAAACTCTAAGGAAATTCTCTGTCCTTCTTCCGTGTTCTTGCCTTCCAAATCTCTTTAAAAACAGCTCTCTTCTCTTTTGGATGAACTACTATTTGGGTACGCGCTTTGCGCGTGTACCCTGTATCAATGAATATATAATTATTTTAAAATACGAAAAAATATTAAATAATGTGAGTTATTGAATAAAATAAAATAAAAAGTATAAGTTCTTAAATATGATGAACATTGATCATTTTTAGCCCGTTATCTTGATAAATAAATAATAATATAAAATCTTAAAAAATACTCTAATATTAGAGTTAATACTTTATAAAAAATAACGTAAATATATGAAGCTGTCATTTATTAGAATGGTTATAAAAAAAAAGACTTCATATGTAGGTTATCATACGAAAATTTTGATCGAATGGTCATATAAAATAAAGGTCACAAAAAATAAGGTAGAAACCCAATATTTATTGTTATTTTATTATAATCATTCAAATTTTAAGCGATAAAGTTATAGTTTTTAGACCCTTGAATTATAGTAAAAGAGAAACGATAGCTGAAACAATGGTAATATCACAATGGAAGGATATCGCAATGGATGTTTAGCTTTGCTTTGAATGGCAAATACTCACGTTAGTTTTGATTTAATAAATATATTACACGTCATATAATTCTATATATTAAGATTTTTACATAGTTCAAACAAAAAAAATATAATAAGTAAAATTTCAGCTAATTTTAACATTCTAAAAGTTAGAAAATAATTAATGATTATTTTGAGTGTAAAATTAATTTTTAAATTAATTTTCTTGATTTTTTTTATACTTCTTATATTTGTCGAAGGATATCCAACAATGAAAATATAGCTTTTCTTTGGATGGAAAATTAATCACGTTAGGTTTGATAAATAATGTGTTACATGTTGCCAAATATTATGACTGTTTACATAACTATACTATATTAAAAGTTAATGATGCACATTTTTCGTTTGATACACACTATTCAAACTCTTTCTTTCTTTTGTAAACTATTGCGTAGTCAAACTAAGTTACATAAAATGAAACGTGGGGAGCATTTTTTCTTGGGGCTCTATTCATGAATTGAGAGTTACATCAGAATAAGAAAGTGGGAGGATTCTAGTATACTTCAAAAAAGGATTAAGGAAAGATATAATAAGAAAATCTTAGGTGATTTTAAAGTCCTAACAAAATTAGGAGAAATAATAAAATGACTAATTTGTCTAGTATGAAATCAAGCTTTACAGGATAAAAAAGACAAATAATATTTCGTTAAGGGCTTTCGTGCTTTTAATATAGTATAAATTAGACTTCATATAGGTTTAAGTTAGTTGCCACTCCCGTCAGCCGGACCACGGCCGCTAAGGCACATCTGGTTTAATGAGGTAGTCCACGGTCAAAGGCAAGTTGAACTGTCCCTTTCCTTCATCTTCCAATTAGTGTGACCACCACCTTGCATTATGGAGTAACTCTTTAAAAATTATATGAATTAAATAAAATAATGTTTGAATTGCATGTACAATGTGCAAATATCTAAAAGTCTTTATTGATAATTCAAAAAGATAACTTTATTTGAAATAATCATCAAGGTAAAGATGCACACTCCATGTGAAATATTAATTTTCATTAAAAAAAATTATAGTTATTGTAGTAACAGTCATCACTATATATAACTTAAATTTTAAAAATAATACGGAAAGAAACTATAGGTAAAGAGTTTATGTTATGGGTTAATACAATAACTAGGTTTTTTTTTTGTGTGTTACCGCAATTAGAAAAGAAAAAAACAACTTTCCAGCCAAAAAAAATTGTTTTCTTAGGTACAAAAATTACATACACTGGAATAATACCCTATTTAGCAAAATCTAGACACTTGATTTTTTTTTTACTCGAATTACAAAAATTGGGGGAGATTGTGCAAGACAGAGGTAAGAATGGTGAACTACTCAAAAAGGAACGACGTCGCTGTAGGCAAAATAATCATCCGAATTGGCGATGGAGTCCTCCGGCCAACAATCGCGTAGCTGCTTCAACAGCAATTGCGCTTTTCTCTTTGCGCGTTCTGTACAATCGCTTTGGACTAACAACAGCAGTTGAGTCAAGACGCCGGCGGCAGCCGCTTCCTTTTGAGCTTGTTCCGACGCCAAGCAGAGCGATAGCAGTGCACCGGCGGCGTACTCCGTTGCACGCTCCGATACCTTCAGGATGGTTTTCACCAGCAGAGGCACCGTTAGCGCGTGCGACGCTAAGGCGGCGCATCCGGATGGAATCCTGGAGAGGAGTTCGATCGTGGCAAGCGCTCTTTCCGCATCGCATTTCTCGAAATCCTGTAGCCTGTCAATTAGCGCTTCCACCGCTCCGGCGGCCACTGCCTTTTGGCGGTGTTGCTTCACTAGGCATAAAGCAAACAGCGCCTTGATTCCGACTTTCAACGCTCTCGGATAGGCTAATGGATAATTCAGAATTCCGACTACTCCTTCGAAGACGTCATCTATACTGCTGATTTGTGCACGGAGCTCCGATCTTATTCCGGCGACGACAACCTCAATTAAAGCAGCTGAGTTGACTCGGACATCGATAGAAGGATGAAAAAGCAGAGAAACCAGGTAACTAACTCGGTCCGGATCGGAAGCAACAAAAAAGCATTCACCTTCAGAGAGCGGGAACAAAGAGAGAAGCGCGAGAGACTCGTGATTCAACTCGGACGAGTCGGAATCCATGCGATAGAACACAATAGACAAAAGGATTTCACGTGCATTGTTCGCCGAAATTACGGATCGATTCTTATCCGAGTCACGAGCGAGTCCTCTGAGTCTCTTCAACGCCGAAAGCCTAGACTTCAAATGATTCGACTCAGCCGCTGCTTGATTCAGCAACGACCGGACCAAAACCGGATCAGCCGGTTGTTTCGGCGTCGGAATCCGCTCAACTCCGAAAGCCCGGTTCGCAACACACCAATCCTGTATAAGCCGGCGAAGAGTATGATTTGAAATAAGAGAGAAATCACTAAGCGGCGCCCTTGTTACAGGACACGTAGTATTGCCGGTGGCCACCCAGGACTCAATACTTTGCCGGTCGTACGTTTGACCGGTACAAACTGTTACCGGATCCTGCATAAGCTCCAAGGAGATTGGACAACGAAAGTAGTATGGAATTTGAACGCCCACATCCAAAGGGTCTAAACTTCCAGGCATGTTTCCTTAACTCTTTTTCTTCTTTATCTGCTTTAAGGGATTGCAGTGAATTGAGTCTTTGGGTATCAGTAAATGTTTGGTTTATATATAGAGAAAAAAGCTAAAACTAAAAAGGAGTCTGCAAATTCTCTTTTACTTTTTCTCGGTCTATATACGGAGAGAAACCCAACAGGCCGTAGGACTCCTCTCTCTTCTTATTCTGACCAAATGGTACCACCCTTAGTACCCTCAACCCCACACGTGTGGTTTTCATTTATTTACTACGCTGATCTGAACTTGAACTTGTTCATTTAACCATGGTTATGTTGGTCTCTGGTCAAACCTAATTGGGGCCCACACTTCATGCTCAAATCTAACTCCTGTTTACGTCAAATGGCATTATTGATGAAATTTGAATGGTCCAATTTATTGAGCACAATACATCATGCATGGTCTATTATTTGGTCGTTTGGTAAGATGCATTAAATAAAACACTTTGTATATTAATAATATATTGTTTGGTACACATTTTGAACTTATGCATTAGTTATTCAAACATTAGCTATATATCCTATTTGGTATTATCCTATGCATAATTAATGCATAAAAAATAATGGTATTAGCAATGCATTAACTTAGTTAAAGACAAAATTGTCCTTCAAAATTTATGTTTGATTAGAATATGCTAGTTAGTATATTAATGCAAGTTCAAAATAATCCAAATAGTGAGAAATAAAATTATATCCCTAGTAAATAAATAAATACTTAGCATATTTTCTTTTATATAAATAAATATTTTATTTTATTTTACAATATAGGTAGACAAATCAAATAATTTTTTGTAAACTTTTTCATATAAAAATATTTCTCAACATATGTTTCTTTTAAAAGTTAGAGTGTGAACTAGTTTTGAGGGCATTTTTGTAAACAAACAATTCTTTTAGAAATTGGGCAATGTTTTAATACATCAAATCAAACAATGGATAAGAAATATGTCAGCATAGCTACTACCAGCATAAATGCAAGCATTACTAATACACCATATTCAACATTATTTTTATGCACCCTACCAAACGACTCCTTATGCCCTTTGATTTTTCTTTCCCCTTTTTGGTCGTATTGTCTATCTATACTATATTAAAAGCACGAAGGCCCTTAGCGAAATGTCGTTCGCTTTTTTTACCCTTTAAGAATTAATTTTGCACTAGACAAAATAGTCATTTAACTCATTTTCCTAATATTTAGGACTTGAAAATTAATTACTATATTTTAAGTATTAAATCATTCCTTATTTAAATTGGGTAGAAAATCCTAAAATTTAGGACTTTAAAATCAATTTAACTTTTACCTTTTATTAATCACTTAAAAAAAATACCAACGTTTCCTTTCATTAACAAGAGATATATTACCTATTGTATATTTTCTTAATTCTACAATATCAGTAAAATACTACTACCAATGAATTAATATGTTCCTTGAATAGATTATTGAAACTTAAAACTAACGGGTTTTTTGTCTCAATTATAAATAAACAAAAACTGTAGTCCTTGGAGTATGTGTCAAGTAGTATAAGAAATAATTTATTGAATAGACAATTAATTATTTCTTAATATTTAACAGTTAAATGAATTAAAATTTTATGCATTAAAATCTTTCTTATTTGAATTATGTGGAAAGTTCTACCATTTACAACTTTAAAACTGTTTAGAGTTTACTTTATACAAATCTATGTTTAGGAGTTTAAAATTAATGAAAATTTTACTAATTAATTTTTTTCTTATTTAAATTATGTAAAAAGTCCAAAACCTTTAAAAATATTAAGAGTTTATTTTATGTAAATCTTACACTTAAAAACTTATACTATATTAAAAGCACAAAGGCCCTTGGCGAAATGTGTTCGTCTTTTTTACCCTTTTAAAACTAGAGTTCACCCTAGACAAAAAAGTTATTTAATTATTTCCCTAAGATTTAGGACCTTTAAATTAACTAATTTTTTGAAGAATTTAAAATAAACTATAGAACCATATTCTATTTACCAACGCCATATCTTTTAGACAAGATAATTACTTTCGTTGTCTTTTAATTTTGATACAAAATTAGAAATATTCTAAGTCTATATGAACGAACACTATGTATCTTGATTACAAAAACAAATATTAGCACCATGTAAGAAATAGACATATAGATTTCAAGGGGGGGAAAAGACTCAACCCGAGAAAAAAATCAAAACATATTTTAAATCTTTAAATCTCTTTGTTATATAAAAATAATTTATTTTCTACANCACGTACACTAAAGCTAGTATAAGTAAATATACCAACTAATTATCGAAAGCATAGTCATAACAGAGTGAAATTTAGAACAAATTCAATACTTACATAGATATGTTTCCTTTGTTGTCTAAATCGAACTGCATTGGACAAGTAACTCCGTAATCTTGATGAATTAAAATAATGTTACCACTAACAGGGAATTTATCCCGTCAGAAATTTAAACAACTTAATTTGGGTTGTTATTAATAAATTATATTAATTCACAATTGCTTACCTTAGGAATTGACTTAATAGCGAGAGTTAGCTAAAAGAGCTACTATTATACTAGTACTAAAAAGTAATTGGAGAAATGTATTGAACACTTCTATTCCGTTTTAATTACCTTTTCCATGGGTGTGCGTTACAAAAAAAAAATGAATTATATAAAAGTTCCATTTGAATACATGCCTTTAATTATTTTCTACTAGCGACCAGACAAAATCATTTTGATTTAGTTTCAAGCCATATAATTAATTCAAATCTTGTTGTACACTCAAAATCAAACTCAAGTTTGACTAGTCAATATCTTATGATAAGGAAAATCACTTTCGATATGTCTTAAATGCAAATCATCTTTAACAGAACATACCTTCGAGCTACTTTCTATTTTCGTGGTTGTATCGCTTGAATTTGCTAGTTTCTAACTCTCTAAGTTGTCAATTTTTTTTACTTGTTTCATGATAAGCCCTAAAATAAAATAGAAAATCCATCCATATATTGCGTCAAAGAATAATTAATGGTAGGATTACCCTTTTGCTTCCCCTGAAAGCTCCTTTCCAAATTGCTTTCCTTTGTGGGGTTCTGGAGAAATTGGGATCAAAATTCAAAGTAGACAGTTATTATGAAAGCAATTGATTATCCTTGAGAATTTTCTTTGGAGCATATTCCAATTGCTAGGACTGTGATTCAGTAAATAGTATCTCCAATATGTCAGTCCAGTTTTACTGCAAATAGACGAATATCCTAATTATCTTTGGCAGTCAAATGACATAGTAGTAGAGAAATTGGATATTCGATGTGCAAGATTGAGTAGGAGTGCAGGAGAGTATTTTTCTACTTAAGTAAAGTCCTCATTAACACCAATGCGTTTTGAATTTTGCGAACATTTAAGACATGGGTGCAGATTTCTAAGATGAACAATACTATAGTATATCAATAATACTAGTAGTTCCGATTATTATTTTTAAATATATAGAGAATTGATGGCGGGGAGAGATTTAAATTTAGTAATGAAAGGATAAGCTAAGGAGGTTTCGAGGCAAGACCAAAGAACAAAAAACAATCCATTCTAATCTCTAGCAATCCAAAACGAAAGCTGAGGAATTAGGTGGCTTCATCTTAAATTCAGCTAGTACTTTGTCGATAAAAGTCTCAAATTATATGTCGTATTTTTAAAAAATAATCGTATCAAATTATTTGTCATTTTAGAAGTTCAAAAAAAATAAAAATAGTTTTTTTTTTCATTTTACCCTTTATTAATAATTGTTCTTGAAAATAGAGATCACGTATAAATAGAATAAATATTCAATGAAGGGAGAGATTATATCTTAAGACATAAATAATGGTAAAAGTCCAACCTCCTCCTAATTAATGTTTCTTAAGGAGTGTATAAAAGAAAAACACGACAGATAATAGTACGTGAAGTGCAATTCTGTTACGCTTTTATGATATTGGACTGAAACAGCTTAAATGAAACGACACGAAGATTGGAGTGTCGATTTATATCCGATTCATAATAAGTGACCATTTTACCTTTGATACGCCTATTAAAAAAATACGAATTCTTAGAGAGAAAAAAAATATATTTACTAAATTAACTTTAATTAATTGTTATATTGACACATTGTAATATGTAAAATAAGGGCAAATTTAGGAAAAATAAAAATAACTCCTTCTTGATTATGTAAATAAATACTTATTTTGGATCAATTATTGTGGATCGAAGGAAATATATAATGGAGTAACAACATAAAATTTTAAACAGTCAAATGTGTTAAATGTTTGCATTGAACAAGAGTTGATAAATGAACTGATCAGAAATTCAGAATCGGTCAAATTATAAACTGAATAAAGTTCAAGTTTTTGTAATTTCAATAATTAAAAAGGTGACTGTGGAAAAAGGGGGGACTAGGGGTGCTGTACTGTTCATTGGATTTGGATTTTACCTTTGTAGGAGAGGGAGGGTGGGTGGTCAAAGGTCAAATATGAACAGAGGAATGTGCGGGGGCCAGGTTGTCTCTACCTTCTCTTTATTCGAGTAGTAGAAGGAAGCTGCAAAAATACTCCCCCTATTCCTAGATATATATTTCCTCTCTTGGATAGTTGGATGACACCACACTTAAAGGCACTAACTTTTTCCTCTTCTTTTTTTTTATTTATTCTTCTTCTTTTTTAAAAAAAGAATTTGTGGGATGCTCCTTTAAACGTGGTCCCCATTTTAGAGTGGGACCTTCCAAGAAATCAACAAAACGATGTTGCTCAAGTGGGGTCCAGACAAGAAAAACCCAATTGTGATTTTTCTCTGGAAGTAGAACACAATTGATGAACAGAGAATCTTTTCTATTATCCATCACATGTTTGCCTTTTTGTTTGTGTTTAATCAATTGAGAGAATGGGAAAAGGAGAGGGGTTAGATTATTCCATTTGGGTTTTTTGTCCGGGTCGGGTGAAAAACAGTAGGTAATCCGGCAGTGACAGTGAAGAGAGGGGGCACGCGTGTAGAGACAGACAGTGCGGTCCACGGAGTCAGGCCAACAGTAGGACCGAGTTTTGTCTGTGGTCAACCGGGCAATATTGCCGGTTACAGCTACAGTCGTTGTTTTCCCCATGCACGTGCTGCCTTCTCCTTCGCACGTGTCCCCAGCTAAGCCACATATCACCAGTTTTCTTATCTTCAATTTTGTAACACAATAATAAACACGTCTTAGGAGTATTTATCAATGAATTCATTTCTGCCTTTGGTCTGACTGAGAATATTGATAGATTTAGGTTAAAGAGCACTTGTTAACTCTTTGTCTCGATATGATCTTGCTCACATTATCGGTCTGATATTCAAAACAAGAGAAAATTTACTATATTTAACATAGTACTTCCTCCGCTCCAAAATAAGTGATTTTTTGGTTTTTTTTGTGGTCCAAAATAAGTGATTTTTCCAGATTTCAAGAATTAATTAATTATTTTTTTCCTATATTGTCCT